TGCTCATCAGCTGTCTTCGGTTTAAGGTCAGGGGGGGTGCAGATGTCGCAGATGATGCCCACTTGGTAACGCCCTGCATCCCTTACGGTGCAATTCCTACCCCCTCCTGGAACTGTCACGTCTTCCAGGATGCACCTATCGTCTACGCAGGTGAATGCTTTGCTGTGCTGAGCTTCGATGCAGGTTCGAGCTTAAAGAGAAATAATTTCTAATTCTATTCTCCTTTGCTTCTGAAAGACTTCAGAATTAGCGGTTAGAACGGATCTGTTTATCTTTAATTTGTTAGGTTACTCAGTTACCTAGGAAGCCAAAAATCTCAACGCCCTTGCAGTCGGCGTAGCTTCCAGTCGCGAATGTCCGCCGAGTAACACTGAGACGGCGCGGGGGCATCTTTCGTATCCAGGAGATAGTTACGGAGATATTTTGTAAAAATGACAACAGGTCCTTCGACTCACGAAGCCAGTCGGCCTTATATTCCTGACCGAGCCAGTACTAAGAAGCAGTCATTCTTTGAGTTTCCTGACAAAGAATTCAGGCCTTACGCTACAGCGTCTATTCATCGAGAAACTCTGGTGCTCCGGTACTCCGGTGCACCATTCATTCGAGATCGACAAAATATCGCTCATTGTAAGCGGGTCCAGTGGTGCTCGTGCCGGTTTATTCCTGGCTCTGCTGTATCTGGTTCCTACCATCGTGAGTAGCTACGAAGACCAAGGATCCAATTCAGCTGACCCATTTCATTATGTTCCAAGACTCCTTAAAATGAGAAATCCTGAACCGTTTTATTCTCACTCTCCTTATTCGCTCTCCTTTTTCGTTTTCCAACCAAGTTTGGGTATTCTCCCTTTATAAAATCATATTAAAAGACATGCGTAGAAATCGGACAAGCATGTTTAATAAAATCCATCAACCTGAGATTTCGAAGGATCTCACTTAGGGTCTAGTACGTTATTGGTGAAAATACGCGTTTAGTTATGTAACCCTTTAAAAGATTCTGAAGAATCCAAACGGAATGAGAATATTTGGCGATGACTGCATCTTCGATCATTTTAAATTTATTAATATTTCTTCAATGTATTTATAAGAAAAATTATTCTGTGTCGTTATGAGTAGTAATAATGTAAATTATTAATTTCTCTCGAGAACGAGGGGTTGACTCTTTGAAAGGGCTTTACCCCAGGACAGCAGGTACCCAGGCACTTCCAGCATTACCAGTACCACCAGCACCTCCGGGGACTAAAAAAAATGTCAAAAAACCGGTACGCGAACGCTCGAAAACACTCGGTGAAATGTACGTGGTACAAAAGGATTCGTAGGCCAGGTAGGTAACTAGGGACAATGAAGAGGGGCGAGAGGGGAGGGCACGGGTAATCCGAAGAGCCTCGGGAAGATTCCTGCTGGGTTCTTCAGGTAAGCTGTTTGCAACCTGATTATCCAAGTTTTTAATAACCTTGTAAACAGTCGTGCCAAAACAAAGGAGTGAAATCCTCTGCGAGTGCTGGAGATAAAAATATTTTTTCACTCGTTGACATGTTGTTCAAAGATTATTACGTTGGTTATCATTAACCAACGCGTCCCAGTACGAATGTTCTGGAAGGTTGGGGGTGAGGGGGGGCTCACCAATGTTTGCAATAATAATAATGGCAACGGTCCACGTCCAAGGCTTTCCTTTATTGCGTACGACATTATTTGTCATACGTGTCCTGCTTACGTCTGTTTATGCTGACAGTGAACGGTAAACAGATTTTCTAGCGTGACGGAACCTTTGGAAATTCTCGACGCTACAGGCGATAAGCTAGGGTCAACAAAGTGGTCCAAAGTGTCGAGAATGACACATAGAGGTAATGAGTATAACGGTACGAAGATAAGGGTGGCCTAAGGGAAATCAATGACAATAGGGAAAACTGAAGGACCTGAAGTCCGAGGATTCCCTCGAATCGGTAATTCGGATCGAAGGATCTATTGGTCACGATATGACGAAGCTAGGAAAAATAGAAAAATACAGCTATGCTAAAGTTAGTCATCGAGCCCATTTCTAACGTGAAAAATTCAACTCTCGACTGCCTCTTGACAATCTCAGCAAGAGACTTCGAGAGTCCCGAGTGCAGGTCTGGTAGTTTAATGCGCCTGAATTTCAGCGATTTGAATGCGAGTCCCAGATGATTATCGATGCGGTTACGTCTCATGCACTGATGCACGATTATAACAATATTCGACCTGCGAAGTTGGCTAAGCTGGTAGGTAGGTGAATCGTTAAGAAGAGACAGAAGAACTAGGAAGGGCAAGAGGCATGGGAAGTAAGGGAAGTATGGGAAGTAAGAGGACCGTTGCCACCGAGTGGCACCTTGACACCGGTAGAAGGTTCCCCCGGGACTTCGCACATGTCTAGGGATCCCCGAGGGCCCGAAAATGGGTCCAACTAGTCTCGGTGGGGCCGCATATGCTGGCATAAAACATCCAGTGGTAATAGCCAGGTGTTTCAAAGGTGAGGCGGCGATGGGCCCCTCGCCTCTTCATGACGTACAAAAAAAAAACCAGCTTCCTTCCGATGGGGCTACCGTCAGGGGGCCTTATGCCCGGTACCCCGCTACCCTCTCCCCCCACCTCGCTACGTAATTATACAGATTTATTCAACTGTCTTCAATTACACTGAGCAAATCCGAAATCTTCAGTCGCCGAGTCCACGCGAATCTTCCACACTCCCTGGATCCTTTAGCAATTTTCAAATTTTTATTTTATCCATAAAAATTACTTTCGAAAATAAAAATTACATTCCGTCCGTTACTTTTTGAAAATAACCCTCACACTTTACTCTCTCACCTGTGAACTGTACGGGTAGACCTGGAAAACTCCTGAAGACGTTCCTTCGTTGTCCAACTAATACGCATCAAACTACGCATATTTCCTGAATGAGAATGCAGCAGAGACCCCACGTGGATATAAATAAAGGCGTGCATCCAGGATTTAGCATATTTCAAGGGAACCACTGCTGCTGTATATCATATACATACGTACATAGAGGGGATATAAAAAAAATAACTGATGAGCCGGTAGCTCCAAGTCCCTACCGGAAAAACCGGATGCAAGGGTCGTCAGGTCTTGGCCGATGAAAAAGATTCTGCCGAGACAGATAGATCATTGCTGATCGCCGATCACGGATGTCTGTTCGCACGCTGATGTATACAATATATATATATAGGATCAAAGCAGAGACAATCCATTAATGACAGATCGAAAAAATAAAAAATGTAAAAAGATCAACGTGCCCGAGCGCGGCTGACAATGAAAGAACATCTAACCTGATCCAAGCGCTGTGTCACTCCCGTTATGAAAGTGCCGCGGCGGAACGTGATTAGGAAGTGTTGAGACAGCGCTCAAACTATGGCGAACGTGAAGCGTATAGACTCTGTAGATCCATAGATCTATAGATCGCAGAATAGCCACTAATACAATTACATTGCACAAAGACGCAGTTTGCAACAAGAGACGCGAGTCTACGTCGGCCTCCAAGGTTACCGTAACAAAAATCTTTTATTCTCCCTTCTCTAACGGTGAGTCGCGTGGCTCTCCCCCCTCCGACCGTTCGGCAATTCTGCCATCATTTGAAAAAAAAAAAAAAAAATTTAATAATCAAAAGCGCCTTATCCTTCGGGTAAGAGAGAAAGGGTTATTGAACATTTTATTGTAACAGTGCTGTGACGTCACGGATTGAACAGTCAGTTTTACAGCTGTACCTGAACTTAACCATTGGTTGTACGAACGTTATTTATCGGTAGCTACACAAGAGTTCTATTCAATTTGTTTATTACTGTTTACCTGTTTTATTGCTCCTGTTACCGTGACAGTTCGATAAATCGAATGAATAACTATTTCGAACTTACACCCAATTATCGAAATACGTTAATTGACATTTTCATGAATACTTTGAAGATTTTAGTCACGTGTTTCCGTGCTTGGTACGGTGTGACTGTGAATTTTGAAAATATACCAAAACTTGATTTCTTTATTGCCGTTACGCTCGGGGATGACAGAATGATTTACGACTTATGAAAAATGATTTTTTTTTGGAGTAAGAATCTAAAAAAATCTTCCCTTTCCTAATACCAGAAAGATGTCTTGCACCGGTCACGTAGCTGCTGAGGGAGATTCACAGCATCCCAGTACGTAGTGAAGCGTGTGCGTCAGTGTATTGACGTGTGTGCACATATCCATGTGGGTTCCAGCACTTCCAGCACGCGTGGGCGATGCTGCGGCACGCGACACGACCGTTACGTTCGGAACTGGCATCGGGGGTCGGGTTGGAGGGGTGAAATTCAGAAGGGGAACAAGGCGGATTGCAACGTGTCTGCACACATGCCCACACAACAACGAGTGCATAGGTGCACGTGTGGGACACAGTCGGGTACCTCGATACGAGTGCTCGTATGTGTCTATAGGCCTATAGGAATAGACGCATCGACGCACACGCGGATTTTGTATTGAAAAATGCAAACGGAGTTGCCTGCGCTGGTGGACGGACGGCGAAGTGGAGTGAAGCGATGTGAGTGCGTGGAGAGAAGCACACAATGCACACAAGGAGGGATATGGTTGGGCCCCAATGGTGGTTACATACTTTGGGCCCGAGGGTGTGTGCTGTCAGGTCGTAGTGGGTCGCGGTGGGTCGTGGTGGGCCCGAAAGGTGGTGGGGAATCCGGGGTCCAGCATCTGCCGTAGGAGAGCCACACAACCGTGGTCGCACAGTCGCACAGTCGTACAGGCACGCACGAACACTTTCCTGCCGGTACACACACTCCAGTAAATCTCGAGGGGGACCTACGGAACAGATGCCCGGGATCCGATTGGTCGACGGCCCGCGACTGCCCGTCCCCCATTGGCGAGCAGCGCGGGGCCCGCAGGCCTGCATTGGTTCGGCAGCACGTGCGGGCCACCTGCACTCCGGTAGTGGGGTAGCTGCTTATAAAAGGCCCGAGAACACCCCCTGCCAGCAGAGACGGCTTGCAGCCGAACCGAGTCTAGTTCTTCTGTGCTCGTTGCCGTCGCCGTTGCCCATATTGCGAGTTCCTTCTACCGAGTTTCCTATTTCAGCTATTTACTTTGGACAGTTTTGCGACAATCTTGAATATATATATATTATTGGAAAAAAGAAAATAGGAAATACGAGGACGAGTGGATACGCAGACATTTCGATGTGTGACACAGTGCAGTGAAAATTACTGGCGGATATTAGTGTGTTTGTGCTACACGACGCTTATTTTGGATTACCGGAAGTCCTGCCACGGATCCAAGATGCTCGTAGACGAGATGCCTCGAAGCTTCGTCAAGAAGAACAACAGTTACAGTCACTGTCCGCTCAAGAAGCGGCCGGTGCACGTGATGCTCTCCGAGGAAGTTCCGGATAATGCAAAAGGTGAGGTTTCGAATTTTCCGATAGAAAGAGAGTGAAAGGGTGAAAGTGTTGAAGTTTTTTTGATTTTGGAAAATTCATTGGTTCGAATGCCAGTCCTGTTGCGAAGAAGTTAGATTTTACTTGACAGCTCGACTTAGATTCTATCGTGATACTCCGATGCGGTCGGCAGATCGAATATTCATAGATGATTGTAACAACTGTAGCATGCTCTTATCGAGAACTCGTGTGAATCCAAATAAGCTAGGTTCCCATCACGCCCAGCGTGGAGATAACAAATTCAAACAATTTGCCGTGAATCAACATGACAGATAACTGACCGAATTGTTCCGTTTTGCGATTACAGATGAAATAATCGAAGTGGTCGTCGATGACGTACCCGAGCCCGAGAACCTCAGCACGAAGCCGGAGGACCTGAGCAGAACCGCGGAGAAGATGCGTCTGCAATCCTCAAGGACGCCTTCGCCATCGCTCTCATCCTCGTCCTCGCCTTCGCCTCTTCAGCCTCCGAGGATTTCCTCACCGACTATTCCACGATCTCCACCGTCCACGAGTCACCTTCTTGGACACCATACTCAACATTCCTACCAGCCACATCATCCGCACTATCCTCATCATCATCATCATCAACAACAGCAGCAGCACCAGCATCAACAGCAGCAGCAGCCACAGCATCAGCATCATCATTTCGAACAGCAGCCTCAGACGCAACAATCCCAGCCACATAATCAGCACTATCCTGCAAAAACAATAACGCCACCAGTCGGGATTGCTCCGATTCATCCAGTGGCGAAGAAGGCGCGGGTCGAGGTCATCCAGCACGACAAGGCCCAGGCGCCGCTCCACTTCGTGGCGAGTAAGCCCCCGTTGGAGCCCCTCAACCTGAACACACCCGTGGAACCACTGGCTCCGTACGCGACGTCCAGTTGGGTCAGAGGAGCACCCCTCTACCCACCTCATTACCTCCCTTATCCACCAGCGGCGTATCGGTACCCCGCGAGTGCCGCTGCGGCCGCCGCAGCCGCAGCCGCGGCCGCGGAGCTCTACGGCTCCAGCTACAGCCTACCAGCAGCAGCGGCGGCGGCCGCCGCTGCCGTCGCCTACCCGCACTCGTCCCCGGAACATCCTCCTGCCCTCTCGCCACCTCTGGCGCCTCACGCGTCGCACCCTCATGCCGCCCTGACCTGCCCCACCATCCAAAGACCCATCGCCTCCAGGAGCTACGCACCCTGGGCCAGTCCCGACCACTGCGGACTCTCGCCCACCAGCTCCCTTGGTTCGGGATCGCTGAGGTCGCCACCGCCAGTCACCCCCGAAGATCTCTCCTCGCCAGGAAGCGACAGTGGTCGCTCCTCCGCCGGAAGCACGTCGGCCGGCTCCGTTCTCAACCAGAAGAGCACCGAGAAGAACGGTAGTGGAAGTGGTAGTGGAGGTGGCAGTGGCAATGGTAGTGGCAGTGGTTCCACTTCGCCGCGTTATCAGTGCCCTGATTGCGGGAAGTCCTACTCCACGTACTCGGGACTCTCGAAGCACCAGCAATTCCACTGCGCAGCTGCCGAGGGCCAGACGAAGAAGTCCTTCTCGTGTAAATACTGCGAGAAGGTCTACGTCAGCCTGGGGGCCCTGAAGATGCACATCAGGACCCACACGTTACCATGCAAGTGTCACCTGTGCGGCAAGGCCTTCTCGAGACCCTGGCTCCTCCAAGGGCACATCCGCACCCACACCGGCGAGAAGCCCTTCAGCTGTCAACATTGCAATCGCGCCTTCGCTGACAGAAGCAATCTGCGCGCCCACCTCCAGACCCACAGTGACGTCAAGAAGTACTCCTGCACCTCCTGCAGTAAAACCTTCAGCCGCATGTCCCTCCTGACGAAGCACCAGGAGGGCGGCTGTCCGGGCGTCACGGTACCCATGGGCTACGCCTGCTAGACCTGTTCGTCCCATTTGAACCTGCAGCACCGTCTTCGGGAGAGCCGAAGAGGACGCGGGGCTACCTGGTGCCTCGCATCTGTCCTTGTCAATTGCCTGCCTGCCTGCCATTGTTCGTGCAGTTTCACGAAAGTGCCTTAAGAAGCCTCGCACGCAAGAAGACTGTCCGGAGTACAAACGAGAGGAGAAGACGATTAGCTTTCAGTGTAAATAGTGCAGCGGGAGAGGGCTGAAGTTGAGAAAATTGAGGGACCTTTGTCGTAATGAAAAATCGCGGCAGTGTGTGCTTACGATTGCGTTCTCTGATTCGAAGGAGATACAGATAAAGAAGAAAACGGCCCAACGTGCCTTAAGAATCAGATTGACATATAGAATATAATGATAAAGATTAAGATGAATTCTCGTTCGAATCAGACACGCGCGTTGTACCTCTAAAAGTCTTAAACGTTTAAAAGTTGCCGCTTATCGCGGTTCCGTGAAACTCTCGTGCCATTTTATTTCAATTTTTTCTCTTTTACTATTTTACTATTTTATCTTTCGTTCTCTCCGTATATCCGTCTGTGGTCGGATTCCCAAGAGACGGATAAGGGATCCGTCGACGATCCTCGCGTACTCCCGCCTTAATTTCAATTTTCTTTTCTTTTTCCATTTCAGCCTCATATATTTTTCTCATTTTTCGTGTATGAATTATTTTTTTTCGACATCGTTCATTATCTCTTAGTAATTTATATTTTAGTTTTAAGTGGTTGTGCACCGCGCACCAAAGTGCCATTGTCGTCTGTATATGCGTACTCGGAGAAACATACGTTACACTGATAAACATATATACATACATATATTCATATAGATTGCACGCACGTACGCACGCACACACACACTCAGGCGCACGCAGAGATCGATACATATTATATGATTTGTCAATCAATTTGTAAATAGCCAATCCGTAGTCCATAAGATCGCATAGTATTATCTCCATGACGACATCAGAGGTTAAAAATGAAATGTTTTTTAGCTTCCTTCTTTTGCGTTATAATCTGTAAGTTACTCGAAGAAACTAGTCATTGTATGATAAAAAAATGAAAATCGCAAAACAGACGAAAAGATAAGAAATAAGAGGAGTAGGGCTCGCCACGCGTCCGTTTCCATATTATGTAAAAATTTAAAAAAAAAAAATAGAGCGAAAGGGGCCATCGTTATCTTTTTTATTATACATGTAACGTGTGACTCGGGGCGAGTATCCACTATTCTCTAGATGCCTAAAGAAGAAAAATAACTACTATGAGACACAGATATCGCCTATACAATATATAGAGATATTTTATACGAAATAAATAACTCAAATCAAACCTTAAACGAAAATTCTTGTCTAACGATTAATTACCATCCCACCATTATTCCCGATTAGAAAAAAAATTTCCTAAAAAAAATTGTTTTGAAAAAATTCTTTATTACTTGACGCAGGGTGCAGTCAAAAATTGCAGCTATTTCAGTTCCCCTCTCAGTCCTCCTGCTGACTCGTTTCAACGGTCGCTACTTAGAACCAGCCACCCTTAAGGTCTTCTCATGCCCAAGAGGGTTCACGGGTCCTTGTTACTTTTCTCCGGATGATCACCTGCGTGGGAATCAATAGGGAAGGTCGGGTACATTGCAATTTACTGCAAGGGCTCGGAGTTCCCAGTTCGCGTGAAGTCAATGCCAGGAGTAGCCAAGACTGCAGCCGCCATTACCACCTCCAGCGGGACAATCAGCATGCAGTCTCGCTATTCCGTTCTTAGTTCCAAGTTGCATTTCAATTGAAGCCTCGAGCGACTCGACCGCCTCGCTCGACGGCCACGGATGCTTTGTTCGTCTATTCACAGAGGCTCGAGTGCGACTTCATTGAATTTGGCCGACAGGTGTTGCCCACTTTAAAATGTCCCCGTATACCCTGTGACGTGATTTTTCGGTTCGCGGTCACGAGGCGACTCCGGCTACCGATACAGATAACGTTCTCGATTCGTATAGTTACGCCATTGCTCTCCGAAGATTTGATATTGTTTAGTTGAGGTCGAGACGCTCGAATCTGCCGTGGGGAGATAGTCTCGAAGTACCGAGTTGCTCGACAGAGGAGACGACCCGACGGAGACGTCTCCACGGACCAGCAGAAGCCCGGGTGAGATACCGGTGTGCCGCTGGAAATGGGCAAAGGGCTGTAGTGCGGACGGAGTTATAGTTTTGATAGGGTTAAGGACAGAGGAGGAACTCCCTGGCCCGAGTTAAGGAAGTGGTACCCAGCTGTCGCCCGACACCCTGGGGAAGCGGCCATGGAGGATTTACAAAAGTGTTACATGCCGATTAGCTAAGGAACGCTCTGGATTTAGTTTAAAGGGACGAATCGAGGGAGATAGAAGAGTTATCGGCCATAAGGATCTCGACCAATCAGAATGATTAGTTCTCAAATTTGGCTATTGTGAAATCAGTCTGTCTCGGGCACCGACCGAGGTGTCACGAACTGCCTCGCGCTCCCGTGTTATCTGTTGATAGTTTTTCTAGCCGTGTTTCGATCCGGTATACAAAGTTCTCGCTCGTGAATTTCTCGCGTTGCTCTCGCGATATCCAGGAAATTCTATGGATTTCCCGTGCGTGTTCCGGAGGTGTAGTGTTGTGCCCTAGCGCAGTACCCACCCGAGTGTCTCCTGGATGCGGTTCCAATTTATTAATTGGTGAAGGAATTTCGATTTGATAGTTCAGATTCGTTCTGTTACGTTCTCCATCCGTTGCTCTCTGTATCGCGCACTATTTGCCTGACGCGCACTATTTGCCACTCCCGTTCGTGCATCCAGTTGCGTTTGCTGATTTTACGCGACCTCAGAAATCGATAGGATCCGTTAAGTTATTAAGAGAGTCCTTATCCCTGAGAGGTTTTATATTTCCATGATCAAACAGGTGCTTGACCGAGACTGGATATCTCTATCGAGACTCCTCTCGTTACTAGCATGAGGAATAGCAGATATTACCAAGAGATACCGGTCCACGCCTAGGATCCTTTTGGAGCGGAGCAAGAGAATCGGTAGGCCTAAAACTCTGCCGCTCGAGTCACTCGGCAATCGCTGGACGAAGTAGGAGCCGCCGGGAAATACATAATCGCTACCGGGAGGTCAATAGGCGGATATAAGGATTGCCGGATTGCTTGGTTGGTCGGCTGGCCGATTGGTAGCGATCGAAGGCGGCGAAGAAGGCGGAGAAGTTGCTGGAAGCAGAGGCGATAAAGTTTCTATCGAAGTGGTGAAGCTGCAAAGCGACAGCATATAGAGTGCCGATGCTTTTGCCCAGAGAAGAAAGGATAAGGTCAGCTGAGGTCAGCAACGCGTAACGAAGCTCGTAGCCTGCGGTTTCTTTCGCCCGGAGAGAAAGGGTGACTCTCGCTTTCGCAAAAAGATCATATCGATCAGGAGTCGTCATTGTTGTTGGAGATTCGTACGGAGGAGGAAGAGAGGGAGAGAGATAGAGAGAGAAGAGAAACGTCAGCAAGGTTGGTAGCGTCTCGACGCCACGGCGTTCCACGGCGTCCCACGGCCCGTTTGCCCTCCAACTGCAAAAGTCACTTGCCACTGCAATTGCGCGACCACCTGATCTTCCTGATTTTCCTGATCCTCCTGATCCTCCTGATCCTCCTGATCGTCCAGCATCATCCTGATTGGCCTGAACGTTTCTGTACTCTCAGCAATGCTTTCATCGCTTCCCGGAAGATCTCTTCTTCTTCTGTCCATTTATGGCGTGGTACTACGTGATCCATTGTTGCCGAGATCACTGATCTCAGCTTCACTCCGCGGTCCTTTCTGGTACCTGTGTCTTTGAGCAAGCCAATGAACTACTTCGAGATTGGTGATCCTGTCACTCGGTTATCCTGCGATCCTGTAATCCTGAGTGGGCGCAGTTTATATTGGTCGGCTGGTCGGCTGACCGACCGGTTGGCTCATTAGCTTTGTCGACGTTTAGACAAAACAATCTCTGCCTGGCAGAAGCAACCTGTTACCCGGTCGGATCGGTCTTTAAGGTGCCGTGCACAACAGATGGTTCGCGGGCCACACGATCCACCTGCCACGACGGCCCGATTGCAGCTCGCTGATTCGAGAGATTCAGGTTAGCCGAAAGGCAGTTTGGAGTCGGCGGAGAAGTCGTTATGGCTTCGGCGGGCCTGTGACGTCAGGGATACAGTATTTTGAATAGCGAAAAGTGAAAACATCGAGTTGGACGTGGCGCTGGAAATTAGCTTGGAATTTTTGCAGCATCTTCGAAATTGGCCAAGGTTGGAATTTACTGGCGCATAAAAAGGTGCCATTAATTTTTCGCTCTTTTTTTTTCGCGCCGCGAGTTAACGATCGCTTAACGGTGCCGAACGTCGCGATCGTATCGCAATCGAGAGGTTAAATCGTGCAACACCTCCTTATCGTCTCGTTCTTCTTGAGAAAGTATATACGAGTCTGTTTTTTTTTTTAACAAAAAATCTCGCTACACTCGCCGGCCCTGGACCGCGGTACGTGCTACAGGCTGCCGCGGCATCCTCTCTCCTCCGATAGTTTTGTGAGTGAGGGACTGAAAAATGTTAAAAATTCGTCGGAGAAGCCGGCAGGGTTAACGACACCCTTTCCCCTTACAAATGCAGGGGCATCCATCCTGAAAGAAAACGGCCCGTGCTGGGCCGGCCCGAAACTAATTAATTCCGACGCTGATTAATCCTCAGAAATTGTGGGTTCTCTCTTTCCAAAATTGAACAAGGGACAGGGCTTGTGTCGGTTACCAACTTCTCACCTACTTCAATAGTAAGATCTGTTTCAGCCGAATCCCTGAAGTCCTCCGCAGGGAACAATTCAGCTAATTTCACGGAATCCACTTCCTTGTTGCCATATGTCCCGAGTTAACCGACAGACCTTTTTGCTTTTCACGAGTCATGCAAGCTCAGTTTATATTTGGAGTCTGGGACAGGTCTCAAACAATGCGGAGGACTCGTGGCTCGTGATGGCTCGTGGGCCCTATGGGTTGATCCAGGTTTTAAAGGAAACCCAAAGAATCTTTCGCGACCGGAAGTGAGTGACCTCTTAGGGCGAGGGGCAATTTGAAGAGGGGCCAGATGGTGCCCGAGACCGAAAAAGGGGTTAGATCCTTTAAAGTAAAGAGTTGTTTGGTACCTTCGATATTCTTTGAGAGTGGCGCAACGGTCCCAGAAGGTCCCAAGGGACCTGGGACCGTGGAATTGAAGATCTCTTCATTTTCTGGCCCGTGCCTCGCCAAATTGCTATACCTTTCGAATAATCACTAACATCGGAGCGTGCTTCACACGTGCTGGGTTAAGACGAGACCACCTACGCGTTCGAGCAGTGCCACACCTTGTATAATGACTCTGGTCAAATGACGCGAAGCGAATCGCTCGCGTTCGCTAATTCCCTGATGAAGGGCTAGAGGCCTTCGAATCGCTGCTAAGCCGCTAAGCTGCCAACCGATGCGAGACATCGTAGATCGACCTGGACCTGGAAGACCTGGAAGACTTGAAAGATCTGGAAGTGTCACTCTGAGAGATCCTGAACCCTGGATAATTTTCTTCTCACGTTTTCCTTTCCTCGATGAGCGAAGCACGTGCCACATGGCTGCCAACTCTTACTCCGTTCGTCTCAGTCGCTCGCGTGTTGCTCCTCCTTCGTTCCTACCGCTGATGGCACAAGGATGGAAACAAGGATAGATAAGCAAAAGACTGTCAGAAGTTGCTCCCTTCCTGCAAGTGTCCTGGGTCCTAAGGGTCCGCTGGAATCTTTCAGCCATGTACCGTTGCACCGAATTTCTAACCTTAAAAAAGAAAAGAGCAATCTCAACGAAGCGTGACAACCCTTGGAGGCAATCGCGAGCTGATAGACCTCTCGGAAAGTTAATTGGATTTTGGACACTCGCAGTCTGAACGTAGCCAGATAGAAAGAGGTCAGAGGAAATTAATAAGGAGTGGAGTAGTGCACGCGTTGAAGGTACCAAGGCGCAGCCTAGGATCGATTAATAGTTTCCAGAGCGAGGTTCATTCTCACAATCAGTCAGGTATAAATGCGCTGGAAATGAACTGGCGGGAAAAAAAAGTCCAAGAGCGGGTATGAATATTAGAACGCGTAGTCGGAGATTGCGTGAGCGATGGATGTAGAGGGGGGTAAGGG